TTCCTGACTAAGAATTGTGTGCTGATCACGAATATAGGATCTAAAGTTAGAAAAAGTAAACATTTCGTGGAGTCGAATGTCCAAAACTGAAGGTTGGTCAAGCTGAGTCCAATTGATAGTTTGCAGGTTGTCACCAAGAAAGAGTCATTCAATAAACTAGAAACTAAACAGTTATTGGTGAAAATAGTTGCTCTATCCAAATATGTAAACAAAAATGCAGTGTGAGAGTATTTTAAGGAAAACAGGAAAAATAGTCATAAATCGGCCACAATGCTTCACTGTGTCGCTTCTGGATTCCAAACGAAACCTTGAACCAATGTGAAACTTATATGGTAGACGCAGTTGTTCACGCTCTATTCACTGGCACTAGAGAGACATGAATATATGACTTTTGTGCCACCGGTCTCATCAATTGTACTTCGTGACAAATGCGCTCTTTTGGTACTTGAACTTGACAAAACGGAGAAAGCAAATCACGGATCTTGAAGTCCGTGAAAAGCTCTACACAACTGGCTATTTAGGTTAGCAAAAACATAATTCTGTTGATCGGATTAAGGCTGGGAATATTGAGTGTAGAGTCCTAGGGTTTAAATAAAATAAGGTTAGTTAAAACAAGGCAAAATTAGGTGGATATGAGATGCACTGTGAGGTACATTTCCGGCAGTATATCAACAACTTCACTCAAAGTCAAAATCCGATGCAAAAACTAATTCCATATTCGTGCTCAGCGTCAAAACAATGTCCAACAGACTATTCAGGCATTTGTCTCACGGTCTTACGATTGTCCCAACTAGACATGCCCATAGTTTCGAAGCTTATAAGCTATACTAGACCCTATACTCAATATACTCAGTCTTAATCCGATCAACAGAATTATTTTTTTGCTAAGTTAAATAGCCAGTTGTGTAGAGCTTTTCACGGATTTCAAGATCCGTGATTTGCTTTCTCCGTTTTGTCAAGTTCAAGTACCAAAAGAGCGCATTTGTCACGAAGTACAATTGATGAGACCGGTCGCACAAAAGTCATATCTGCATATCTCTCTACTACCAAATACTACTAAATTGTATGAACTCACAGGTCAACGCCCTATATTTTCAGGCTAAAAGTTGTGTAAGTGTATTACCTTTTCTAATTGTTAATTTTTCGACTATGAGAACAGATTTACACAAAGTTAATGGAAAAGAAATGTCAGTATTCAGAATTATTTCTTATCTAATGTAATCATACATTTGTAAGAACATTCGGTTTCATGCGCAAAAGAGCAATAAAACAGCAATGTGTCATCAACAGTATTGGGATTTATCCTTCTTTTTTGTGACTCACTACAAGAAAGGGAAAAATGTGACTATGTATTCAACAGAGACATCGCTTTAGTACATCTTAGGAGAAAACCAGAATTGTTAATGACACATTATTGTTTTATTTCTCTTGCGGGAATAAAACCATGTTCTTACAAATGTATCATAACATTAGATAACATATGACTATAAATATTGATCTTTCTTTTCTGTGAACTTTACGTAAATCTGTTCTTTAACGTCAAAAATTAACCATTAGAAAAGGTAATACACTTAACTTTTCGTGTGAAAATATAAGACGTTGAAGTGTGAATTTTGTAGAAGAATATTGATTTGTTTTTCTATACAGATGGTGATGGAGATGAACTTCGTCCTTCGGAATATGATAATAATTCTGTTAATTGGATCTGTGACAGTAACAGAAGCTGGTCCCGGAGCGTATGCGGCATGTATAGCAGCATGTTATGGAGGCTGTACTGCTGGTACCTTAATGTGGGGAATAGCACTGTGTGAGGGAGGTTGTGCAACGATTTGTGCACCGCTTTTACCAGCTCCAACACCTTGATGGTTTTCTGGTAATTCAAATAGTAGTTAGCAATATATTTGAATGTGTAAAAGGATAATCGAGAATAGAAACAAATGTAAAATTTATGAAATATGATATATTTTTTAAAGATTGTCATACATTTATATATTAAATCAAAACATGTATATTGAAATCCGCTACAGAGCGGATTAGCGCTTGAAAATAGACATGCAACATTACGAAAGTGGGGGAAAAATGACGAATCCAGCTGACAAATGTTGGACAACGTCGTATTTTGTGGATTCTACTTTACCAGCGCATACTGGCTCGTTGGGGAGACTGGTGAAGCGCACCTCCATGTTCTAACCTTATTTTATTCAAAAATCGGGATGGACCATTTTTCTATCATACCTCATTCTAATTGCATATTCGTGTTCAGCTTAAAAACTATGTCAAACAGACTATTCAGGAATTTGTCTGAAGGTCTTACGGATGTCCCCACTGGACATGCCGATAGTTTCGAAGCTTATAAACTACACTTGACTCTATACTCAATATACTCAGTCTTAATCCGATCAACAGAATTATGTTTTTGCTAACCTAAATAGCCAGTTGTGTAGAGCTTTTCACGGACTTCAAGAACCGTGATTTGCTTTCTCCGTTTTGTCAAGCTCAAGCACCAAAAGAGCGCATTTGTCACGAAGTACAATTGATGAGACCGGGCGCACAAAAGTCATATATGCATATCTCTCTAGTGCGTCATTCGATTAGTTTCAAATTTTAGGAATAGACACACTTTTCATTGCTTCATATATTGGTACTCCTAAAATTCGGGACTGGGTGGTTCACTGTTCTCGCTATATGCTTAATTAACATTGGTGTTTCGCAAAATAATTAATGGTGGGGATGGACGTTTTTCTTTAATCTCTTTTATTGTAGTCGCAAAATTAAATTTTTTGTTTGGCTGTAAAATTGAAATCTAAACCTAGAGCCATACCTCAGGTTGCCTAATATTCAGTTCTGAAGCTAAATAGCACACTTTAACCTTTAATATCAAATAATTAGAAGTGAGAGGATCAGAGCGATTATTTAGCCTTTCCTGTTGAAGGGAAGGACTTTAATATTAAAGGTTAACGAAACTGTTAACCTGTAATTGTTAACGGTTTAAGCATCCGTTAATCGCTAATATTAAAGGATTAAATTATCCATGCAACCGTTAACCGTTAACCCTTTGACTAGGGGTTTGATTTTTCTGATATAATTGTACTAACACGTTTCAAATATTGAAACACATATTTATTTATTCTCAAAAGTTTTGTAGAGTATGAAAATATTTGAAACAACAATCATATATTCTTCAAGTATACTTTTAGAGACCTTGTAATCAGCTTTAGCTTTTTTTTATTGTAAATGTTAACATGATATTTGAAATATTTTAATTAGAGCAAGAAGACGATGTCTCGACGATGTTTGCATGCTTTCGTATGGTGAGAAAAAAGATTTTGAATACTTTTTACAAAAACTGAATGAGATAAATGTTTCAACTTACAGTGTTCAACTTACGAGGGAAGGTCCCCAGGTGTTTCCCTGCGATTTCAAAGCAATGTACCTCACTTTGCTAATTTAAGAATGCTGATTATGAATCTGAAAACCATTCGTGCCCTCGTTCAATCCTTCAAGAGTTATAAACATTTTATTTTAATAGTAGCGAAATGTACCATATTTTGAAAAAATCACAGCTTTTCATAGAAATGTTCAATAGAGCTGAGAGATATGTCATTCTACAGATAAACACCTTAGCTATAAAATGATATCTGTTTTAGCTTGATTGTCACCACGACTGCCATGATGCAACAGAATGAAATCTTGTGGTAATATATGGCAAATTTTTCTAAACATTTCAAAAAGAAACATAAAACAAGTGGAAAATGTGCAATATTTTAAAATTTTTTTTACTTAACAATCAAACGTTCTCTGAAGCTAAAACACATATCATTTTATAGCTAAGGTGTTTATCTGTAGAATGACATATCTCTCAGCTCTATTGAACATTTCTATGAATAGCTGTGATTTTTTCAAAATATGGTACTTTTCGCTACTATTAAAATAAAATGCTTATAACTCTTGAAGGGTTGAACGAGAGCACGAATAGTTTTCAGATTTATAATCAGCATCCTTAAATTAGCAAAGTAGGGTACATTGCTTTGAAATCCCAGGGAAACACCTGGGGACCTTCCCTCGTTAGACAGATTTACAAAATTGCCTACAATTTAGAGACTTGGTTCAGAACGTCCATGCTGGACAGGCTTTAAACTTTTTATTTGCCATTACTCTTAATCATATGTAATTATACGTGTCTCACTTTTGATAAAATAACTAGTGCTTTAATATTTATCACAACTGTTGTACATATGTCAGAAATTTTCTTTTTTTGTGTTAATTTAGATCTTGAACATATAAATGTGCGAAGACATGAACGAAAAAAGACTCAAAGTAGGCAAATAATCCTACAACAGACACGATACTCAGTAAGAGGCTACTTGAGTGTATGACTTCTTCCTTACATGTGTCTTTCACACTTTCACAATCTTTTTAAGGCGATTTAACGCATACACAGACAGAAAATAAAACAGATATATGCAATGAATGAAGGTGAAACTTCCGTTATTCATTCTCATTTTCTCCGAATGAAATACTACTATATATGAATAACGTTACAGAAAATAAATCTCGTGTGACGTTACACGAAGAGAACGGAAAAGTATAATGTTAGACATTCATCTCATCTCTAGTAAAAAGTCTACACGTGTTAAAAAAATAAATCCTGTACTCTAATTACTAGGAAAATAATCTATCACATAATACTCCAATTTTTTTGAATATACAAAATGACAGTTTTGACTAGCAAATGTTAAAATCTGGGAAAAGTGTTAATAATTTACTCTACATATAGATGTAAATATATCCAATGAGGGAACATTCCTTGTAATATATCACTGACATATTTTATACAGCTGGCATCATAATAATCAGTGCTTTATCTGTTCCATCTCTTTAACTGCTATATATTGTAGTTAGTAATAGTTGTTCTTTATTTCAACAAAAATACATATAGAAGCAGGAGAAAAAGACATACAATAGCATTTTATTAGTATGAATTTCTAGAACGTACAAAAATGCATCTTCTCTTTGTGTTATATACATCTTTAATTATAACTGCTCAAGCTGATAATCCATTAAAAAAGCTGTTTGGTAAAGATAAAAAATCCAATGTTACTACGACTGATTCATCAATTGTCGTTAAAATATTTTCAAATTTTGCTGAAATTGTTCGTAAAATAAGCTCCAGTGAACTACCCGTAGAATTTTCGGATGAAGAATGGAATGAACTTCGAGCTGATACGATTACATTGTATGGTCCATCGATTGACGTCACTTCACAAACTATAAGTGAAAAGAAAAAATCAATGAATGGTGAAAAAATTTATGTACGCCGCTCAAATGGTGATAAAATTGATGTTGTGGAAGCTGTAATGATCGATGAAAAGAAAAATCTTGTTCAAGATACATCGAAAAAGCGATATTTTACTGTTGGAAGTGATCAAATAGAACATATTTCAACACCACCTACTAATAAACATGTCGTTTCATTTACATATAAACCAAAGCCACTTGTAAGTGATCAACAATGGTATCTAACATATTTAAGATCAAATCTTAACTGGAAAACGAGATATAATCTCTTGCTAGATGAACAAAAATCTCAGCTGATTTCGCTGGCGGATATTCGAAACGATGGTGAAAAATCCCTGACTATTGAATCAGCTGAACTATTCGGTGGTGATATTAATATTCAAGTAAGGCCTTCGAGACACGACCATTGGGCATATGCCAATCACTATCCTAGATTGGGGAGGGTAGATACAGATTTGGGAGATACTCGAGCAAAAATATCATCGGCACCAACTATCAGCCGTCCCGAGGAGCTCGCAGGACTGTATGTATATAATATTGACAAACCATTTACAATTGAATCGAAGACAAACTATATTTTACCTATGGCAAAACCAACGATTAAAGTTGATAGGTTTTGTTCAATTGCAAAATCATTTCACGCCACTAATAATCGTGGTAAAGCTCAACGATCGTATCGTTTACATAGTGATCAATTTTTGACAAAAGGCAATGCAATTATTCGTGAATCTGATCATCTTGTCGGTGAAGCTAATTGGCCCGATATTGCTGCTAATGATGACTACGATTTTTCGATTGGTGAAGATCCTGATGTTACGTATAAAGAAAATGTTACTCGTCTTTCATCTAAAATATTGGATGAATCTGCAGCTAAACGTCTATCGGGTAAACAATATTATGTCGGTTTAATTGTTACACAATCATTGTATGAAATTAACTTACAATTGAAAAATTTTAAAAAGCGACCAATCAAACTTGAATATACTCAGCGTTTTCATGGATCGAAACAATTTACCGTGCAAGAGAAAGGTGCATTTACACAAGAGGGAAACGAAATTCATGGACACTTTACATTGCCAGCAAACAAAGAAAAAGATTACAAATATAAAGTTGAAGTTACCAATTAGATTCTCTCACGTATTACTTATTAACTCGTATACTTCTCAATTACTCGCATTCTCACACAGTAATAAGTTTTTATATACATTATCCTGTTTGATCCTGCTTTTGTACGTATTAGCCTAAATTCTCATTAAAGCTGATTCATTTTGCGTACAATCGTTCTGTAATTCTATCACTAGACATATAGACAAAGCTCTAAAACAATTTTCAATCCACATTATATGCTACTTTAATCAGTCCGTGTAATTCAGGTGTGTAAAATGAACATAAATGTTATCATCTGACTTCAAGAGCAGGCGTTTATTAATAAAATACCATCTAATTTTTCATTGATTTTCTAAAAACCCCACTTGTTCTCAGTAAGAGCTCAATGTTTTTAGAAATCTCACTACACAGATTTGTAGTAGGTCGTCTGAGCTACAATTCTAGATCATTACTGACTTAAAGAAATTTTGGTAGATGGAGAAAATTAGCTTTTTCTAGTGTCAGGTGAAAAGGTAAAAGAAAAGGAAATAATGTGAGATGGGAAGATGCCTGTAACTCAGCAAAGAAACATCTTCAAAAGGAGAAAAAGAACGTGAAAAGTCTTTATGGAGTTACTCTATCAGCACAAAAGATTTGATCAAAATTTCATTTGTCTCACCGTCTTTCGGTACTTACGCGGACATGCGCTTAAGTACTTATTCATCTTGGCATCTTGCACTTCAGGTATGTTCAGAGTTTGTTTTTGCTATAATAATGAGGATGATAACAGTAAACAGTTTCAAAAAAGGTACAAAATAAACTTGATTTTTGCTGAAATAATATAGTGAATGGAAAAGCGAAAAATGCGTATCTGAAGGCTTCTGACATACGAATGTTCTGCACAATACACATGGTTTGGGCTTTTTACAGAAAAGTGAGTTCCATTGCACGAGTAGAGAATCTTTTATTAGTTGATAACCTATTTCTGTATGTTTCACATTTGAAATTGTTCACAATAAAAATGAAATCTCAATCCTCTTTCTGTTTTGGACAAACTATAATGATTTAAAGAGTATGAATGCCTACTCTGGTTTCCTTGGGAGTTGTTTTCAATCCATTCTGTAATTTTTTATCGAATTCTTGCGTATAATCCAGTTTATAATGTAAATAAATTTGTTTAATAACGTCAACAGGATTTTCTATTAATTTAGAATACTGAACATTTAAAACTGTATTCAGCTGTTGTTTTTCAAAAACAACAGCTGAATACAGAAAATTAGAATACAATAAAAATTTGGTTAAGTATATCCGAAAGAATACCACAGTATTGTAATGATTTACGGCCCCAAACCAACCAAGTAATTTTATTTTTGGTAGAAACAGTCAAAACTCGATACTTTTCGTAAAACGTGGTTTTTCTACTAATCTTTTGAATGGCTTTCTGGAAACACACATCGCCACGAGAGACAGCGCCGATAACGTAGAATCCATTCGATTCTGAGGGTACTTCGGGGCCTGTCCAGGCGTAACGGCGTCAAAATTTTGACACACTAAATTACAGTTTTCTCGAAAACGAAAAAACTTAGCGAGCTAATTCTTTCGCCATTCGACGTGTCATCAAAAGCTGCATCTATGATAAAAAAACGGAATTTTTCTATCACTAGCTCAATTAATTAGAACGATTTTTATAGAGCGTAACGGCGTCCAAAGAAAAGGCCCTAAATTTTTAGTCTTTCATATTAAACTGGCGATTCTTCTGAAGTTATTGGTGCAATAACAAACTCGCTTTGGCAAATCTTGTGGAGTTTTTCGCGGGCTATCCAATGAAAAAAAGATTAGGCAGCTAGAATGACTTTTTCATTAATGAGTGCAAAAAACAAAACGTAACGGCGTTAAACCTTTTACTTTTCTTTTCTGTACCATGTTTTTTCACGCCGATCTTAGGAACCGTTTGTGCTTTTTTTAGCTTTTTAACATGAATCTAAGTGGTTTGAGTGACAAAGTATTTTCATTTAGGGTTGTGTCGAAACTTTTAACGGTTCTTTCCTTGAATTCCGCCACGTCTTAAGCTATTAAGATTTATTTCTGGAAATTATGAAGAGGCTCTTAGCCACTAGAATCGATTAATGGATGATAACCAAAACTAGTGTTGATCTAGCTCGGGACGAAGACTCGGCCTCTAATCGAGCTAGGATTTTCCAAATTTCTCTGTTTTTCAAGCGGTTCAGCATGTAAGATAGACTTCTTTTTATTTGGTATTTTTTTTTCGTTTTTTTGTTTTTTGCTTGATTACCTGATCTTTTTCTACCTAAAACACACTCACAATAATGCCTGAATAAAAAGAAAAAAATCTCACCCACACAAACAAAAAAGCGACAGAACTATATCAAAAAATCTTTTGTCAGTTATATCTGATAGTTGTCTTTCGAGAACCTTCCGAATAATACTTACATTCAATAGCTTTATTATCAATCACTTTAATACAATGAGTTTTTAACGTTTCCGGGACGGCTTTCACTACCGCAAAAATATTTTGAAGTTTATTTTTTGATGCATCAATGTCATTTTTAGTGAGTTCAATCAATGTTATTTTATTTGTTTTTTGCTTTGCAATACGAACAAAATCTTCTGCTGATCTGCAGGTCTGACCTGCCAAAACCGCTCCCCAAACTAAACGTTTGACTGTTCCTCCAATACCGTCTACAACACCTATCCCGTGGAAAGTTGCATAAAAGTTCCACGTTAAATCAAACGAAAAATCTCGAGCTAGCTGTACTAATTTCGAAACATGAATCGTTGCTTGAATTGTGAAGCTGCACCATCCGAAAACACATTAATAATTTCTAATTCTGGAACCAATGCTTTGATTTCTGTGAAAATAATTTCAAGCGCCGAATTAACAACATATTTATCGTGAGTTAGATCATTCGCAGGCAAACAGAAAGAAAAATCCTGACCATCAGCTCAAACATAAACTGTAAAAATGGACAACGTCTTTGTATTCCAATGGGCACTTTGTATTTCATCCTGATCTTTCATTCCAATATTCTCAGAAAAGTCACACTGAACGACAACACACTTTTTTGAAACTAACGATTCCACTTTTTCAAAATATCGAGACTGCTCACTCTTGACATGTCTTTTCGTGGTAAACACAGAGACACATTCGATGAGACAAAGCTGCTTTTGGAACAAGGAACGAAGGACTCAACTCCGCGAACGACGACCGACTGAAATCAACTCCCTTATTTTCCTCTCTAAATAATTCGAAAATTTCACGCAAACTACTGAATAAAATTCGTTTTTGATAGGCAGTTTTTTTCCTTTGATCATCCTTCACAACAATCGTATATCACTTTCCCGGCAACTGGTAAGAAATATCATCGCGAACATAAAACTTTTGAACCGCCTCTTTCAACTTTCCTGGATGCTGAGCAGTGACACGCTCATGCATAGATGGAGCAATCAATTCCAACTTTTTTGCATTATGCTGGACAACAACCTTCTTTTTTCCTAAACATTTTGGAAGTGCCGAATTAACTTTTTTGATAGCTTTCCCGATCGATTGACGACTTTTAAATGCAACAGGTGGAGGTTTATTAATTAATCGTTTTGTTTTATTATTAAGATACTTTTTTTGACGTAAATTATTCTTTGTACGCAGTGCTGCTAATTCCACCACATTGAGTTTCGTTTTCGTTGCTTTTTTATTATCACGTTCTTTTTTAAGAAAATTTTCGTATTTTACTTTATCGTTTTTCATTTTCTCGCGATATTTTTTCATATGCGCCGCTGCACTCTTACCCATATTGTAAAAAATCAAATCAAAGCAACGACTTACCTTAGAAAAGAATAATAGATGAATGATAACAAGATGCTTTTAGAAAAAAGTTTAGATGTAAGCGCTTTTTCAGTGTCCACACACTCCTTTTCTACAAAATTTTAATCGAAAACGTGAAAAGACACGTGCACTTTTGCTAGGCCGGTGTTATTGTGAAATGTGAAGGTCCGTTAACACGTGTGAGAGTAGCCTGTGAAGAAAAAAAAGGGTAGCCTTTCGTATTCCCTTAGCTTCATGTATTCTAAATATATAATGGTTAGATGCAGCCTTGAGGTGTCTACAAGCCTAGGCTATGTGTTAAAGTATTCATCAAACTCGGAAGTTTCGGTTAGATAATGAGTAGCTATTTATAATTGTTTTTTGCACAGAGAATAAGAACATTTATCAACACGAATTAGTTGCACCTACGATTAACTTTTTGTGACGCCGTTACGTCTTTTTTGCCCATATTCGACTTTTGTGAATTTTAAACTAGTCCATCGAAAAGCCCGTGAAAAATTAGTATTATCTGACGATTTTTTTCTTAAAAATTTCTCTTTCTGCTCTGCTCAAACTTTAAAATGAGCTCTTTTCGTAACGGTGTCAAAACAAATTTGACCAAGTATTGTGTTTTCAATAGCTCTAAGTGGGGGTAATGAAATGACCTCATTTTTGCGTCAAAAGATAGCCCTTAAACAGCTTCATATGAACCATTAGAATCCGGATTCAGAAAAAGAGATTCCATTTATAGGTACGGCATACAAAAGAAAGTCTTCGTCCCAACTATAATAGGGTTTCTGAAAGGTGCTATTAAAATGCTCTGAAAGATTGTTTAACCGAGTTCAAAATTGGACACAGACACATTTGAGTAAGTTTTTGACTATGCTTTTCAACATGGCTTAAACGGTTTTAAGCAACTCGAAAAAAAACACTTGAACAAGGAAGTGTCGCGTTAGCTGGACAAGCTGTTCGGTCAACCACGTACCGGTCCTAGGGCTCCCAAACCCAAATGCTTTGACCAAATGATTAAATATCAAGAGCTTGCTTGACTCCCTTTTTGAAGAGGACACCCTACATTATTTGTACATGAAGAACTCCAACGTAATACTGCCTGAAGTTTTCCACTATGACCTAGTTTTAGCCTAAAAAAGCTAGTTATTCCCATCAGCAGACACAATATTACTACATAATCTGTTATCAATAGGCATGCAACAGTTACGGTTAACTGTAACTGTAAAAACTGTCACGGTTAAAAATTCTTGGTAGAAGCAAACACAATTCGAACATTTGGAGTACGTATAATCGTCGGAAGATATCGTTTACATTGAGTATATGATTTTCATGTTTCGAGAATATTGAAGAGGTTAAAATACTGTTTTCAAGTCTTTAAGACTTGAAAACAGTATTTTAATCTCTTCAATATTCTCGAAGCATGAAAATCAAATACTAACTGTAAATATATATCTCCCTATGTATATAGATATCTCCCGACGTTTATACGCACTCCAAATGTTCGAATTGTGTTTGCTTCTTTCAAGAATTTTTAACTATTACAGTCTTTAACTGTACCAATTTTAACTGAGGCAGTTTTTAACTGTGACGGTTTAACAGTTCTACAGTTTTACAGTTACAGTTTACTACGTTTTAACTGAAACTGGTGCTTACCTAGTTATTAATGGATCTACATGTCCGCTTTTCAGCATTTTATGAATGTATAAATCCATCATTACCATAGGAAATGGAAATAAAAAGTGAAATCGATGTAAAAATTGAAGAAGTGGACAATATAGTTGCTTTTTAGAAACTTATCATGCCAAACTATGTTAAAGCACACTATTTCGACACATTTTTACCCGAAGAATGTCGCTTATTGTTCTTTAATATGGGATTAGTTTTAAGGGCTATTTTTTCCGAAAAGGATTTAACTTTAGTGAAACTAATATTAGATGATATTGATTTTAAAGAATTATATAGTTATCATAAATTACTTGTACAAATATTGTATTTTAAAAGATTCCCAAAAAATGGCCATTTTCTATTTAAATGTCCATTTCATATACTTCGTTTCGAATCACTTTTAGAAAACCTAGTTATCCCACGAGCAGGCACAATATTTTTACATAATCTGTTATCAATGAAACCGCATTCCAATTTCATACGAATTTTCATGTACAGTAATCGATTAAAAATAATATGTGATTTTTCCGTTCTATTTAGACACACTGACTGTATCAGTTGCAATTCCAGAATATTTTGCAAACCGTCTCGGAAAAACCATACTATTTATATACATGTGAATAAATATTTCAATATCCTTTGAGAAATTCCTGATCATGAAACGCTTATCTCTCGTACACATCACGTTAGCCAATTATGTGTCTCTCTTTTTTTCTGTTTTTAAAGCTAAATAATTGTTTATGACATATTCGTGGATTAGAATTTGATGAATTAATTGCATCTTATCTTCTCAAAAAGTAGGCATACCGAAGACGATTATAACATTACTTTCACTAATTCCTTTTGCAGCTTCTTTGTGAAAAAAGATCAAAGCCTTGACTGTTAAATTTGTTAAAACGAAACGAAATTTTACCTGAAATATTTTAGTTCCTAAATTCATGTATATCTTTGTTTCAATACATGAAAAAAATCCAAAGTGAAGCGAAAATAATACTTGGTCATATATCATCTCCTATCCCACGGATGCTCCGTAATTAATTTCTATTTAGCTGGCTAAGTTGAGCGATTTGGCATTAAACTCATAATAAGCGATATTTTCCTTCTGCAGAAGAGTAAATCAACATCTGAACTAAAATATAAAATTTACTCTCTTTCATTTCGTTCATTAGAGAAAAATACATAATTGAGCTTTAGATTAAATTGGATTGTGCAACAGATAACAGAAAACGAAAATTTCTTCCATTCTGTACCTATAACAGATTTTTCGCTTTCTTTCTCTTTTTGCAAAAAAAGAGAAAAAGAAAGGACGATATTTATCTATATCTAAGCGCAGAAAAAAATGTGCGCAGTTATTTTTGACGAGTTCTCTAAACAAGTTCTCTAAAATAAAGAAACATTTTCTTAATATAATTTGCATCAATAACTACTTTTTTCAATAATATTTTAGTTCATTGTAAGATGCACATACCAGTCAGTCACCTATATCTTTTGAAAATTCGTTTTAACGCGGTTTGAGATTTCATAGAGCGCGAGAATATACAGGTCACCATGAATACGGCGAATTTCTTGAGCTTTAAATATGCGCCTTACTCAAAACTCCGTTATTCCTTCAATATTTCGCGTGAAACGCGTTTATGACCATCATAACGTTTTAAAAACGCGTTTTCAGTCGCAAAAGACTTTAAGACTCGCGAACGGCAACGAATTTTTCATGTTTAGGACTCAATTGAAACGAATTTAATGCATTTTGAACCCAAACTTTCACTGTGTGCCGCGTTTTGTGTTCTACACTTGTAGAGACTTGCGTTTCGAGTTTGAATAACTTTAATTTCTTGCGCTTAATTTCTCACTCAAAAATAGGTACTTATTTCAGTTTAGAAACATTTTCAAGAGTTTCTGATACTGTCATTGAATTCCTCGTAAAAGATTGCTTCGGGAAACTTAGCCTTTAACTATATCAGATATACTATGAGGACTTTGGGTCGTTCCTATATCAATTTCGTTTAGTGCGACTATACCGAGATTGGCTCAAGAACCGCGAAAAAACGTGAGTTTAGCTAAAGTGTATCGCGTAAAACACTGTTTACGAAAAATTTAGCTCATTTAACGCAACCTATGATTACCTCAAACTCGATTCTCGCACTTCTTTTTAAACGAATTTCTCGCGGTAACCTTTTCGTAAACAGAGTTTCGCGCGACGTTTCAAGCTGATCTCGTGTTAAAACGAATTTTCAACAGATATAGCTGACTGACTGGATAATGCAAACTCCAGTAGAATTTATTTTTGAGCTTATTATATACCATTCAAGAGAACTTTTCAAGCAGATCAAGAAGATGTAGTTTTTAATTTTTCGAAACTTTTTTTTCGTGTGGAAAAATCGATAACCTTTGAGAAAGCACGAAAA